AAAAAAAAAAAAAGATTTCTCATTATAAATAGTAACCATCACAGAGGCAAAATCTTTCCAAGTACAACAAAAGCACCAAATGTACAACATCAGTGTCCAAAGGGCAAGACAGCTTGGACTAGTGACAAAGTTTTCCATATCAAAGAATTGAGAATTATGTGATGTATTCTCTTATCTGCCAATTGGTTCTTCCTCCAAGTCTGAACTGTTATGTAACATTCTGGGAGCAAACAACATTGTTTTCCTACAAACAGCACCAAGAATTGGCTACAGAGTGGAGAAAGCAGCCTGCTAGGCCCTGAATAGGCTGCAGCTTACCCAGAAACCCAAGGGAAATGCAAAGCATCACATCAGTGGTGCTTGACTACCAAAAGCCAGAGTCACAAGTCAGAAACTTGGGACAAATGCTGCCTCGTGTCTTTAATACTGAATGATATGGGGCTTCCCATGTAAATCATAACTGAATGATATGGGCCTTCCCATGTAAATCACAAAGAATGCTAACATAATGAGCACCAAGCACCTATTCCCAATCCAACATTGACATCCCAACAGCATCACATTCAGAGCTGATGGTCATTCTGAAATGTGCTCCCGATCTTCCACATGGTCTTCTTTCTTTATAGTATCAATCTCATGACGTGTGCATTCCAAAAGACATGAATTTTGCCATTATTGTCTTTGCAATCTATATCCAGGTATGATATGTAGCTATGGTTTAGTGACATTGGTGTTTCACAGTTATAAATGTTTACTCACAGCCCTGACAAACTAGTCCTGACTGTTCTTCAGTGAAGGGTCTTCTGGGAATGTTGTTCTACAAGTTTCTGGGACACTACACAAGACTACCTCTGGTCCAGAGAGCAACTAGAAGTCTGACATGTAGGTACTGTTCCATTTCCCAAGTATTCCAAGCCATCTTCACATTTACCAGCAAGCCCTAGAAGACACAGCCTCACCAGTACTTGGTACTCACACATTTCATCCAGTGAGTAAGAAACAGTATTTAACTATGTTCCACCTTTCATTTCTTTGATCATGAATGAAGAAGAGAACCTCTGTTTTAAGGGATGCTTTATACATTCTGGCTAATAATCTTTGCTCGGTTTTAGATGTGCATGATTTTTCCACTTCTGGGTTATCTTTCTTTACCCTTCCCTCCCTAACTTCTTTCCTTCCTTCCTTTCTTTTCCTTTCTTTCTTCCCTCCCTCCCTCCCTCCCTCCCTCC